TCTTATACTGATTTCTGGCTAAGTGGTTTCATCTGTGGCTGTTTATTGGGTTGTATCTCTGCAATGCTTTGGTGAAGAAGAAAATGAAAAACATAACTCATTTATGAGGAGTTATTTAATATATATTTTGTGCTGGATCTATGCAGGGTTGGGGCTGTGGAGACAGACATGTTTGTAGGTTGCTATTGTGCATAGTATTTATGTTTTAAATATTTTAACTCATGTTGCTATAACTTTAGTTTCGTTTTGCACATTTTAAAACTATTTGTGCTGGCTTATAGCCTAGATTCTGGAGTTTAATTTGATATGTTACATTGCTATATTCTTTGTCATAATTGCATCGTTTATCACTGATGTTGTTGAGTTACTATGATGAGGTAGCTTAAAAGGTCCCCTTAAAGCATGCACCACTTTGAGTTTGTCACATAAAACCCACTCAAATATATTAAAATGTACAGTTTTAACATAAAAAAAATGTAATTTAACTGATACCCTAACATGTTTAGGGAACAGATTATCTCCACTGCATCAGGTGTCCACATCACATATAACTATTTGTCAAGCTGCAGATATTTTCTCCAGGAGGGACATGAAATCCACCCTAGTGCTTTGATCTCATTGTAGACAGACTCCCGAAATAGCAGAAGGCTGAGAGCAGTGTCAGCAAAAAAAAAAAGAAGAGGAAAACAGCCAGCAGAGCCTGTCTGTCCAGGCTGTTGGTCTGTGGAATAACAGCATAAACACTAAAACCACCAACAGTTGACCAGGAGGCCAGCGTCCCACCAAATATCACAGCCGTGGTGTATTTCAAATTGAACTGTTCCAAACATCAACCCAGGAGACGGAGAAGTGTTATGTAGAGGAAATGGGGGGAAAAAGAGGCCAGGCTAGGACATGTTTGAAGAAGAGAACTTTATTTACAACAAGCAAGGAGCTGGCTTCAAGCCAACAGCAAAGCTCTCCATCAGGATACGCATTTTATCAAGATGGGGAGGGTAACTTCAGTTTCCTTTCCGCCATGAGGAAAGGATTTTTCACCTAAGCCTATCAAAGATTGCCCGTCCTTGAACTTAATATTCTTTTCTGCTGACAGCTTATGACTGAAATGACTTCCTACCGGTTTGATTATAATTTCAGAGCCGTGGATCCAACCTCCACTGATGGTGCTCCTATTAACACAGGTCCACAATTCTGCAGCAGAGTTCATTATTTTACTACCATAAAAGTTAAGTTAGGTTTATTACTCATCACCGGGACACTCGGGGAATTATATTACCCCCTCATTAACAACTCCCTGCTTTTTCATTCGATCCTGTTCACACCTGCCTTCCTTTTTACCCTTTTCATTGCTCAGGTCTCTACCCTCAGCGGACATAGAAATATCTCTGTGTCCTTCCTCTGTGTGAACTTTTTCTCCAAAGCACTCTCTAAATGTTATGCATTGCTCCTGCTGTGTTCGCTTCTGCCTTCCCCTGCTGACCCCTCTCCCCCATCCCACTAATCACCTCTCCACACGGCCTATACCTGCATCAAGGCACAGCCTCCCTTTTCTCCCTCTCTCCGTCTTCCTGCCTTCCTCTGCTGCTTTCTCTCCGGGTGTCTCATTAAAGGCGTTCTATCTAATGAGATTACGCTGTGGGGATTAATGGTGTGGCTAATTGATAGACACACAGCCGGAGAGGATTAAATCCCTTTAAGTCCCCAGCGGGTTTTTTGGGGCGTTTCAGCTGACTAATTGAAATCACAGGAACGGACACAAGCACACTTCCTGACCTGCATGCCTGCAGTGCGCCGCCGGCCCTCCCTCAGCGATGCAGTAAAAGCACCAATAAAAGGTGTTTCATTAGAAAATTAAGCTACATCCAAACAAAGGAGTCAAGGATTAAGAGCATGATTCCCAAAGGGAGTCTGTTCCTTTTCTAAATATGTTATTAGACAATGAAAAATAAAAAAGAAAGTACAACTACTGCACCAGGAAATTAGAGAGAGAGGAAAAGCAAGCAAGTTTAGAGTATTAAATTGCTGATCTTCAAAATCTAACAAAGACTTGTTGTTTAAACGTTTTAAAATTAAATTGTCTTTTATTGAGGCAGCATAATCACAAACTGTTTTTTTTTTTTTTTTATAATACACAGGTGCAACAGCCAAACAAGCTTTATAAAAGAAAAGGTAGCTTAACCCCGTTGTTGAATAAGCCTTAACATGAACAACTGAAGCAGATCCTGTGCACCATTACACCCTGTCACATTTTGCAAGTACACTAAATGGCCAAATGTGATTACTGGTCTGTCTTCTCAAACAATATGAACTGTGAATGATTTTGCATTCCTAATTCATACTGTTACATATGTTGTTTTGCAACTGTTATGGCTATAAAAACTTGAACTTTAGGAAATTAGATCAGGCAGAGAAACACTAGCTGGAAAATTTCTGGTGAGACATTTAGATGGTAGAATCTGACAAATAACTGTAAAGACTGAGGTGTGATAACTAGGTTAGGAAACAGGTACCTGTAGTTACACTGAGACCTGGCACCGGAGAAGGCAACAGTGCAAACTAAAGGTAGAGGATATGACAGGAGCAGCCATGGAAGGATCAAAATCTAAGCAAAGAAAGTTGGTACCAAGAGTGCAAAGAGCTAAACAACTAAGAACAAAAGAAACAGCAACAGAATAACTCAAGTGTTTACGAAGATAAGAAATAAACATAAAATGAAGAAAAAAAACACACAAAAAAAAGGATAAATATACACGAGTGAACAAATGTCCTTGAGCTCATGATTTTTCTTTTTAATAACTAAACACTACAGGTGATTCTGGCGAAAAAAAAAAAAAAAGAATAACTATGTGAACAGAGCACCTCCAGCCCACTATTAATTATTGCGGAGGATGTGTGACGCTTTGGGCCTGTTTCTCTTTCAAAAGCCTTAGAAATGTTGATAGAATGCATGGCCACCCACTTCGGCTGCAAAGCAAAGCAGCCCGCTGATCGGAGGATGTGGAGATGGTTGGAGGGTATAAAGTGTGTTTTATCTGGTAAAAGGGGATATAAAATATCTGCTCAGTTCATCTTTTTTTTTGGATAGTTTTCAATGTTTTCTACTGTCACAACCAGTAATAACAGGTCTTGGTAATTGTTGCTATAAAAAGCTTATATGCTAAGTGAAGCAATGCCTTTACGGGTATTTTAGTTGTTGCAATACTTAAGTTTCTCATTAAATGCATTAACATTGCAAACACTGCAGATCAACTTAGTGAGCTTTACAGCTGCAGTGCACTGATGAAAAAAAAACATTCATCAAACCAGTGCAAATCCTTGGTTTATCATGAGGCTGGGTTAGATGAATTCATAGTCTTCTACCTTTAAACTCTGTTGTGTATAAAGATGCAAGGAGATAATAAAGTGGCAGCATTTCCAAGCTCATCGTCCCTGAACTTATTAGGGTTTGAATATGACTTTAAAAAATCTATATCTAATTATTTTTTGTGTTAGTTTCTTGGTCATCTGCTGCTTTCTGCACGTCAGTGAGGAGTGCATGTGTAGAAATTCAGAAAGTGAACCACTTTATAAAGGAATCATCCCATCCTCTCTGTCATTCACCTGTGCTTGCAACATCAGGGAGAAAAGAGAACTCACACACAGATACTATCCCTGAACTTCATCTTAGCATTCGTTGTCCAGCCTTTGGCATCGGCAGCCCTTGACATCCTTGACATAGTCAGACTAGAACTCCTCCAATCTCCTCTGTCTGAGCACCTGGTTCCCTCAAGGCTGTTTCCGCGGCCCACTACTGTTCACCCTGATGACACATGGTTGCTCCCTCAGGTCTGCTGCAAACTACTTTGTAAGATTTGTGGAAAACAGTAGTGGATTTTATTTAAGGTGATGATGAGACGCCCTACAGAGAGGAGGTGCAAAACAAGCAGCCTCATACCTGAATGTTAAAAAGATCAAGAAGATCATTGTTCACTTCATGAGAAGCAATCTCTGTCACACACATCTTCTAATTGACAGTGCAGCAGTGGAGAGGGTCAGCACCTCAGAGCTTCTGAGGAAGGTATATAACTGACACCCTGACCTTAACCCATCATCAGGAGGAAGTTCTGGCAAAGAAAGCTCATTTAATAAGTAATTTTACTTCGCTGGGTGAAAAAGGGGCATCTGTCCATCTTCTGTTCTCACCACCTTCCACAGGAGAACCATAGAGAACAACCTGAGCACCTGTAACTCTGTCTGGTTGTGAGCCTGCCATGTCTCTGAATACAGAACCCTTCAGAGAGTGGTTAGGAGAAGGGAAGAAATTATTGAAGTTGGTAAAAAGTATGCTGCCTCAAGTCCAGAATATTACCAAGGACACCCCAAACCAAACACTGTTCTTGCTTCTAGATTCTGGAAAAGACTAAACAGTCTGTGGAGCAGAACAGTCAGCAGCAGCATGTTCCTTCACAGCTTGCTGAACTCAAACAAACCCCCAGGGATGGACGTTTTCAGTTCTAATTTAGCTCATTTCTGTAAACAACGTTATTCTGGCCTTTTTCTTCACCATTTCTAAACCTTTGTAATGAAATTTCAGCTAGATATGTATTTAATGATTCAAATATAACCAAGAAGATACATCCATCTACAGTGGAGTGCCAAAACCTTGTTAAAAAGCAGCTACTTTCAAACAGGTTTTCTTTTTGCCCACAATAAACCTGTAGTCAAATTGGATCCAAAGTTTGTTTTTTTCTTGTTTCAGTGTGATTTTATACTGCTGCCACAGAAGATTAATTTTCCACATCCTTACCAGAGGTGTCAATAATGTGGCCAGCATTGCAGGAAGAGAGGGAATAAAAAAACTATTGAAAGACGATTTTATATTCTCACAGGAAATCCAAGTTTGAGCAACACTATTAGAAATGACCAGTGTTGAATAAACAAGGCCATTATACATAATTTAGTACCCACCCTGAGGGTGATGCGTGAAGGAAATCTTAAAAAAAAAAGGGGGGGTGGGCACATTTTCAAAACATGTGTTGTTTATTTCCTGAAGCACACATCCAGTATCGAGATGAATAAATAAAAGAACTCCAGTACCTTGAATAATATAATATCAGCAGGCATGGCTAATGAGTCGTCCCAAGGCAAGAAGTCAACCGAGGGAGAGCGTCTGTAAGAGGCAGACGATAGGGCATGTTTCTTATAGAAAAGATGTGAAATGAAAAAAGTTAGCAGAACTGAAGCAGAAAATTTATAAACAAGCATCTTGAAAAAAAATGCATTTTCAACAGAAGATCCACATTTTTACAAATGAACGGGCCAACGAAGCCCACTGAGGAGCTCGAGACGGAGAGCAACAACCTTTACAGCAGGGAATATAAGTATTATGGAATAGATAATAAGTAAATAGGTAGTAATTAGACTGTTCAAATGGATATTACAATAGAAATATACACATACAAAGAAGCCAGCACAAATTAGTCAATCTTGGAGAACTCGTAGAAAGTGTAAAATAGCTCTTTTTTTTTTTTTGCTTTAAGACCTTTTTATATGCATTACTCAGAATCAACCTATTATTCTGTCTTGAAACAATTGGAGAAATGTTCTTTGTTTTTATTTGATTTACTTTTTAGAAAAACAGATTCTATTCAAGTTACTGACTACAGTAGATCCTTGTGGACCTATCAATAGAATTATTTTTTTTTCTCTGAAACCCGCTGAGAGTTATCATGGCAGAGTGTCTTGGACGGATGCCTTTCTACAAAAAAAAAATAGAAAAAATAAATGACTTTCTTTTCTTCTTAAATTTTTTTACAAAGAACCCGAATGCTGAAAGAAAGTTTCATACCATAATAATTTCACCTATATTTTCCTCATACAAATGTGTTGTAAAAGAATCAAAAGAGTTTCATTTTGGTCTTATCTGACAAGACTACACTCTAGGGGCTTTTCTAAATGTTCTGCTACAAACTTTAAAGGAGAATGAACATGATTTTTGTTCAGCACTAAGTGCAAACACTTACAGACCATTGTATTTAAGTGCATTACTTACAGTTTTGGTCAAGAAGAATTTAATGCACCAATCCCAAGTCCTTTGGAATAAATCTCGGAATGGTGTCTTGCATGTGGGCAACTCTTTTAGTTATTTTTTCATTCTGTTTTCTTAAAATCTTGAAGAGTGTGTGGTTATTACTAGTGTTGCACCAATACTAATACCAGTATCGGGCGGGGCCACAATCCAGCTATCGATATCGGCGAGTACCAAAAAATAGGGCACCGATACCCTTTTGACAGCCAAAAGATTATTCACCTATTGTCACCACTTCCAGGTAGGCAATAAAAAGTTCTACTGGATTCACTTTGTATTATTATTTTTTCCTGCTTCACAAAGGTAGGCAGCAGCTTGACAAAACCATGATGGCAATTATTTTACATCGAAGTAGTATGCAGCTCTTCATATATCCACATACATAAATTTCAAACAGATGGTATACTGCACAGCCAGGTATCGGGTATCAGTATAGGGGCCAAAAAATGGCATTGGCGCAACAGTAGTTATTACTGTTTGCCTCTTTAAATAGATGTACCAAACATTCATCAGTTCAGATAAGCCAATAACCATTTTAACCAACAATACATGAAAAGGTCTAAACCGAGCTATTTGCTTTCACCTAACACAAGATCTTCCTATTTATTTTCTTGGAAAAAAGACAGCTTCTGCTTTTTACAGCGGAAATTTGTTTTGTTTTCTTTGTATGTTTTAACTGCTTGGATTGTTACCAACATCTTGACTAATTTGAAGCTCATGTGTCCATTATAAATTTAATTACTGACATCTTTTTGACCAGCGTTAATACTTATTTTCCCTGCTATATGTCATTGATACTTGAAAAATATGTACTTTACAGTATTTTTTATTTTCTCAGTGTCTTTATACAGAGTATATTCATATAGTTTCTGCTGACTATTTTCACATTCTCACCACAGAGTAACAAGTGCTTTGAGTAAAACATTTGAGGAAAAAAACAAAAAATAGAACAAAAACCAAAGAAAAAAACATGCACCTTTAAATATTTTGTTGGTCTAAAAAAAAAAAAAAACAGGAAAAAAAACAAACAGGAATGTTCAAGGCGACCAGAAGAATCGTTCTGAGGCGTCTTTGTTTCCGAGTCATTTGAGTTCCCCTCGATTAACGATGTCCGACTAATCGAATCATGCCTACGTTAAGCTTTACACCGTGGAGTTAGCAACACAAAACCATACAAGGGGCAGGCAAGCGTCTCAACACAAAGGCTGCTAAACCTCATGAGTCCACAGAAGAAAGGCAGGCATTCTCCAATAAATTATAAAACCCCGATGTGTATAAAAATGTTGCTGTGTTGAAGGGATGCTAGTGAACTGAGCAGGCTCTTGCAGAAGAGGGGATCCAACCCTCCTTTTACAACTTTTTTAATTCAATGGGTTATGAAATCTGGTAGTCCAGATAGTCCGCCCTGTGATGCATCTTCCCCTCCTGGGACAGGCTGCTGGGGCCGTTTGCATGTTCTGCGAATGGGTGAGGAGGAAACAGACGGGCAGGGCTGGTTTGAGGAGCGCAGGAGGGGCGACGGGGAAACGACAGATCGCGTCCCCGTTGTACTGCGCGAACAGCAACCAATCCTGAGATAGCAGGAGTCTGGTACAAAAACACACCACAAAAGGCACTTTATAAAATGACAGTGCTTCTGTTCTAAGGAAATTCAAGTTGACAGAGTTAAAGAGAGAGTCTGTGAGTGCCCCTCCCCCTCCCCTCCCTAAATAAAAACATTCTCTTCAGTGTCAGACTAAAGCAGGAGATAGTTTTGTTTTAACAATCAATCAAAGCACAAATTCACTACTTTTGTGTCTCGCGGACACCTTGATTCGTCCCTGGAGGAATCCAGGTCCAGCGCGGCGAGAGAGCAGAAAAAAAGAAGAAAAAAAAAAAATCAAAATGTCACACTACAAACTCGGCACTAAAACCATAAAGCCAGAATACAGTTGCATTGCAGCAGAGTTCTTGTCTGCGGGCTCGACCAACTACTGCAGCCCGTGGAAAGGGTCCATTCCTCTTAGGTCTCCTCATGTTGTCAGACACTGCCTGTGTTTTACATCCTTTCATTCTATCCCAACTCTCCTGACCCCTGCCACAGCCCCCGGCCCCGCACTGCCTGCGTTCTGCGCTCAGTCGTCCTCTCCTCCCCCGTAGAGGTCTGCCAGCTTCTTAAAGCGAGGACCCCAGTCGTTGAGGTAGTCGTAGTCCTGATCCTCTGAGCTGGTGGAGTTGAGCGAGCTGACAGAACCTGCAGTAGAGCCGCTGCCCTCATAGTCGAACACCAGCAGGGAGTCATATGGAGGGGCAGTGGGATCGTTGTCAGCTGCCCTCAGGCCCTAAATAGAGAAAGGAAAGGAATAATGTAATGAATTATGTAAGATCAAAACCTGTTTAAAAAAAAAAGCTTGATTCAATCATTAGGAATCTTTCTCTGGTCAATCAAAAGTTTTGAGTTTTGGTTCAGGAAACCACTGTGTATCGAAGCATTTATTTATTTCACACCATGGAGCATTTTAGGAAACATTTCTATCACAAACCCATTCATTTTAGGAGAGTCTAACTTCCCTTTGGTCCTTTTTTAAATCAACGACAACGTGTCTATTGCACCATCGATGTAATAAATGCGCAGAAACTGTGAGTCCAGATTCTCCCCACGAAAGCTCAGTAAAGCGCTGCAGCTGTTAGATGACAAAAATAAGTTATTGTTTTTTTCACCTGCGCTTTGGTCGGAAATTATTTCTAGGTGTTGTTTAGGCTTTTAAATTCTGCAGCTGTCTAGTTGCAAAAACAATATTTAAAAATCTGCACATTTTCAATCATACTTCCTCGACCCTTAAAACCAGCATGGGCCTGTGACTCCCACGAGTCAGGGGCGTAGCAGAGGCAGGCTGACTTCTATCCTCCTGGCTGCATATGTGCTTTCAAACAACACATAGCAACAGCCTAAAAGCACTTTAATTCCACTTTAAAGTGTTTTTAAAAGATACTTATGGTTCCTGTTGAGGCATTCCGGGTTTTCTATCGACAGGGTTTCCGACATTTTCTTCATGTCAAACTTACATACTTCTCTAGACTCAAATCTCTAAAAACACTTAGTCCATTAAGCCATTATTTAAAGTTTACATACAAAAATTCACTTTAAAATTAAAATGAGACTTGCTAAAACCAACCAAGGAAGAACGAAAGAAAGGAAGAAAGAAAGAAGAAATGAAAAAGAAAATACTATATTTAAACACCCAACTGCATAAGAACCCCAGACTAAGAACCATTTTCTGCTCATAAAACAAAACCTGGAAGCATTTTCTTCTGGGAAAAAATTGGTGTTTTTCCACTAACAATATAACCATATAGGTGGAAAAGCAGCTTGAGTTATTATAGACTTTACAATACACTCTTCTTGTGTGGCTCACCCACTGGGAAGTTTTTTAATGATACTTCATAGACTGAAAACTGACTGAGAGGCAGACACTCATCCATGGAGGGAAAAAAACCTTTCTACCAGGACTGATGCTTGCATGCAGATTCTTCTCACAACCAAAGAAAACTATTTCTTAAAGTCATAAAATACTTAATAAGACAATTATTTGTAGCAAAAATCAAGAGTCCACCATAAAACGTTGAGTGCCCACCATATGCTGTGTTGATTCTTCCCATTGTGGACTTCAGTTTAACTTCAGTTATGATTTATGTCATTCTGTGTTTTCTTGCTCATTGTTTCATTATTAATTTTGTGTCATTCTAGTTGCTTTCTTGTCACATCCAAGCAGTGTTGTATTTTTTGAGTTACTCTCTGTTGCCCCCTTTTGCCTGTTTCCTTTCCTCTAGCTCCCTTCTAATTACTTCTATCCACACCTGCTCCCAGTTAGCTAATTACCCCAGTCTTTGTTCTATCTCCCATAAATAACCCTCCTCTGCACTTCCTCATTGCTGGATTCTCTTCATTACTTTATTCCATAATATGTTACTTTCAATGGGCATCTACAAGTTATTGATTCCTGAGTTCCTTTCTTCTGGATAATTGCCTCTGTATTATCAACATCTTTATTAAATCTGCAAGAAATCATCTCTGACTCTCCGTCTCTGCATCTGGGTCCTCAACAAACATCCACCAAACCGGACATATACTGTATCTTTAGGAAATGATGCTTATAACTCTCAAGTCATTCTAAAGCAAACTTGCAGGGAAACATTCACTATAAACCTACATCGTTAATGAAGTCTCCTATGTCCCCTGGGTGGGGTACAGTGGGTCTGACTGGGTATTGTGACTCAGCAATCACAGGCCTCTCATCGACCCGGCGCACCCCTGTAGGTTTGTTTATGATGTGGTCCAGAGACTCTGGCTGCTGCAGCTGGCTCAGATCATAGTCCTGGATGAAGCAACCAGAGAGAGAGAAAAATGCAGATTAATAATTGGGATGAGGTTTAGAACCTTCAACAAAATCCGAAAAAATAAAAACAGAGCGTATTGATTTAATAACCATTTTAATATCTATGTAGAGATTACATTGAAATTAATGCAGATGGTTGTAAATCATTTGGTTTCTATGCGGGTTGTTTGCTATTGAAATTTTCTTTCCTAGACCAATAAAAAAAAAAAAAAGAGGTTGTCATTCAATGTATGATTTATAAATATGCCCATTATATCTCTTTCCAGGTATGTCAGTGAAAACAGGCCTATGAGGACGAAAACCATCTGTTGATTTTGGCATGTGTAGGTGTTGGAAATAAGTGAGAATCAAAATCGCATTTATATGTATAGGTGTCCACCTTAAACTAAGCACTGGAACTAGCTTCTACAGTAACTGTGATTTACGTTTAAAGCTCCTTTCACACCTTGACGATTTAGCCAGCGTATACCTGACGTCCCAGAATCTCCTAAAACGCCGGCATAATCGGATTTTTTAATTTGAGTGTATACATAGAGTATTCACAACAAGTCAAGAACTTACAGTACGTTCAATGACAGCCTAACTTATGCATAACGCACGGCAGCGTAATGCCCATAATATGTCACAAGCCAGTGTCCTGAGGGGGACAGCAATGCACCTGGAGGCACCTGGCCTGCATAAAAAGATTTTCCTATCGTGGTATTACCTAGCTTCTGTTTGTTGCCCGCCAAAAGAAAAAAATAAACAGAAAGAAAGAAAGAAGGTTTGCAGTTACAGCAGATTTAGCGTCATTGCTGCTAGGAAGTTTTTTGGTCGTGAATGCAGGGAGGATCCTTCACGCTCATTTTCACGCTTACCCTATGATGGGGATGAAGTCTGGAGAAGAACTCATGGTTTCCTCCTGTGAACCCCCTTTTATACTAAAACGCTGCCAATACGCTATCATACAGTAGCTGTACATTAGAAACACGTTCAGCAGTCATCTAGAAAACGTCAAATATGTTGATATGCGTTGGAGATAAGTTCTTGATAAGTTATGCGTAAGTTATGCACAAGTTACTCATAGGTTTTGGATAAGCTAGACACCACAAATTATGAGTAACTTACAATAACGTATGTCAACGATCAGATAACTTACCTATAACTTATGAGCATTGTTGTACTTGCCGGATGTCAACTTGTGCCAGCATGCTTCACCATGCTCAAAACTTATAGAAAACTGACCCATAAGTTATCCAACATGTGCCATTGTTTTTGTTAGATTTTTCTTATGTCAGGCATACGCTGGCTAAATTGTCAAAGTGTGACAGGTTCTATACTTGAATAGAAAATCGGCAGGTAATATAAAGTATGCTTTAGCATCAGAAGAATATATGAACAGTGCCTAGGAAATATATTTAAATGCCTAACATTGCAGTCAGTAATTTGACATATTCCATTAAACATAAAATGCTTGATTCTGTTCATTGAAACGTATTTTAAAAAGTTTACATTTGTATTGCTCCATCTTTACTCGGGTGTTTTTTGTGGAGAACATCACTGAGCATCAAGAACACCAGAGAAGACAAAAATTTTGGATCTCCCTATGGAGGACCAATGCTGCCATAATTAAAAATACATACAAATAAATGAAGGACTTAATAATATAAAATTGCTAGAAGAATAAGCTAGTAATATGAATTTGTGTGCCATTAAATGTTTACAAGCGGCGAGCTACCTCGTCCAAATTTTGCAACACCACTGGGTAAAGATCTGCTTCGGTGGTTGTTTAAAACAGTATTCTTGAGACGATATAGAACATGATTGTCAGAAACTGTGTTGTCTTATGACAAATATGCAACTCGGCCGAGTTCATTTGCTATTGCATTCCACAAGTTAGCCATTGCTACACCTTTGCCTGAGGCAAAATCCAAGCAGTAACCATTTCCGAGGAGCTAGCCTTGGCCAATAGTTGTGAAGCTTTGCCGGTGACACCGCCACCGCACCCCCTTATTAGTAGCTATTATTAGCTACTTTTTCAAGCAATTTTATATTATTAAGTCCTTCACTTCAGAGTCTGTTCATAACATAACTGTTAGACACACACTGGCAAGATAAAATCCACTGTTGTAAGAAAACCACAAGAAGCCCCATTCAGAGTTGACAAAGACAACCAACAGAAGATGGAACTCTGATCAGTTCACTAAAATTACACTTGGTGTTCTACATGCAAAACGCTAAGGGCCTCATATTTATAGATTACACATAAGAGCCGCTAAATTACACATGCAATTTTATTGTACGAGTGATAAATGGTCGTGATGGTGATTTACAAACACCAATTTTGTGTCCTATAGGAATTTGCTCTTAAAAGAAACATGAGATTCCAATAATAACAATATCTTAAAAAATTGTATCATTTTAATATTTATCATGTACATTATTGCCTATCTCAAAGTGTTATTGGCAAAAGTAAATCAAGGTAGCAACCCCCGCCTGCTGTCTCTGTTGATCTGCATGTTGCTGAAGGCACACATGCAAGTTGTGTGTATACGTTCTGCTAAATTGCACACTCATATTACTCTGCACCTTCTCTGAAGATCTGCTCTACACACGCAAACCTCATTGCATCTGTTTTCAAGATGGAAATCTCCTGAATATCAGGCCCTAAGTGTGGCAATAAACTAACCCTGAACATATCATCCTCATGGCAGAATATGGAAGTGGCAGCATCTTTTTGTGGGGAAGTTTTTTTTCAGCAGACAGGAAGCTTGATGATTGACAGTCTTGTCATATCCTGTTTAAAATTGGCCATCTTTCACATACAGCATGTACGTGAAAGATGTAACTCTGGTCAGATGACTCCGAACTTAATCTAAACTCAAAACATTATGTGTATTAGATTGACAGGAGAGTAAAAATATACAGAAAAGGGTCTGGAGCCAGAAGACAAATCAGCAAGGACTGCTGCCCTACGGACTAACAGCTTCTGTACGTAGGACGTCTACTGTACCCATTAAGCCATCAGGGTACTAACAAAAATCCACTATTTAGGGATCCTCAATACAAAGATGATCAAAGCATGAGTAAATATTCTTAAAATACACCTATTTACTCATTGAGTAGGTAAATATGTTCTGCCAGTGGGATGAGTATGTCCTATCCTTAGAATAAGATATAATGTGCACTTGAAATATGAGAAACTTTTTAATTTAAGAAAAAATGCACTTATTTTAGGAAAAATTACTTGTATTAAAATTTTTTTCTGTGTGACAAGACATGAATGCATAGTCAGAGATTCTCCCCATTCAGTTTTCAAGTGAGTCTGAGGTAGTGCAAACATTTTTTTTTTATTTAGTTGTGCTTCTTGTAAAATCTCCCCAAAAACTTAATTTGTGGTTGTAATGCAGGAAAAGATGGAAAACTTAACGTTCTTTGAATATTTTACACACAAAAAAATAAAAAAATAAAAAAAAGATTTGTTGTTTTTAGACTTTATTTCTTTTTCACTGTCATATTGTGGGATCTTTACACTTCTATCACATTCATTTTATTTCTTCAAGCTAGAAAACTGTTTGCCAGCACCTCTGCGCTGACCTTGAAAATAGCAAAAGTATTTTTTTTTCCTTTTACATAAGAGTCTTTTTAAACCTGTACGGCAAATCAGAACTAATAACATAAGGTTTGTTTGAAGCAAAAACATGGTGTTTATTCTGCTTGAAGAAATCAGCAGGAATCTGAGGATTGTCAGTGCCTTTTCTTCTAAGAACCAAATGGCTGTTGGTTCATGCTGAGCTACCAGGAATACTGCCAATATGGATCATGATCAAAACCTTTAAACAGACAGAACAGCGCTATAATTAGCCCTACACCAGAAGACAAAGCTTTTGTGAAAAGTTTGAAGGTTTTACATAGTTCCAAGAGATAAGAGCAAAGACACTTTATGAAATAATTTGAAAAGCTTTTGGGCCCACTGCTGTGAAACATCTCTGTATGTGAAAGCTGTTTTGTGACAGTCATTAAGGTCATGAATCTTTCAAACACTCTTTAAATGGCTCATTATGTAAGATTTATTCTATAACATTTTATTAGATTTTCAGAGTTGTTTCGATAGGTATGTAGACCAAAGCAGATAAAGGCTAAGTGTGTTCATGCATGCTGACCTACAGCAACAGCTTTTTATGATATTCAACAACAGTTCATATTTGTTTAATCTGCTTTTCTGTGACAGGTTGAAAATGTGTACGGCTGTGTCCAAAAAAAGCATTGATGAAAGCAGATCATATGTGGGAAACATTTTTAATTTTAACTTAAGGGGACACTTTGTTAATTACTCTGTCACATAGGACCGGCTTGTTTTCGTTTTCCCTTCACAATTAAAATGTAAACTTAAAGGGGAACGTTTTTTTTTTTTTACATTGGCCCCTTGATTTTACGTTATTACATCATGTTCTACTCACCCATATTAGTTTTGTTTCATTTGGAGCTGTTCTAGAGATATTCCGTTTTGTAATCCAAGTAACGTCTTCCTATGGGCAACAACTTGAAGGCACAAACTAAACTATTCATAATTTATTCTGTATGGTACACCAGCATTCATAACGTAGGCGAATTACTGTCCCCCAGACATCCGTGGTTGTATTTTTTATTTTTATATTTTTTTAAAACAAAGCGGAGTGTGTATGACGTCATCCGAGTGCGCCGGCTACCGTTCATTCATCCTGTCCACTGAACTGCTGCTAGTTTCACTCACATGCCTGAAAGATGTCTAGTGCTACTACCACAGATGATCTCACTCTCGAAATGGAATTGAACAAATCAGATTAGCTAGCAGAATGAATGGAAGGGAGAGAGAGAGTAGCAGCCTTTGGCCCGGGCTGCCTGTCACAACTCCTGTCCGGCGCGCGGATATATATAAATATATACTTCTCAGCTTTCAAATTCTTGTTGCTTTTGTAAATAAAATATTAAAACTCACTGCTTTGTGTGATTCTGCATGTGGGTAAAGAAAGAAACTACAAACCCACATGACTGTGCAGCTTATTTTCCCATGTGCAGCAGTGAGTCTATGATTACCACTGTTTCTTCCTTGGACCACTATTGGTTGTCATCGCAGACCTGGTGTATCCCGAGATAGCAACAGTTTGGTTTTGTGGTGCTGTGACACAGTTGTCTAGCCAGCTAAGCTCTGTTAAAATCTTTATTCATGTCCGTTTTATTCCTGCTTCTAACAATAAACATTGAGAACAAACCAATCGTTTGCTGCCCAAGTCATCCCATGTACTAACAGACATATATTTATGGCTTATAATAAGTAGTAATCTAACATACCTGGTCTTCCTCTCCTCCTCCCTCTTCATCGTACTTCAGGATATTGTCCCTAACGTCGTCTTCAGGGTCAATCAGCAGGGGCTTTGCTTGTCGTTCCTTCTCTCTGCGCTTCATCCACACCACAAACAGCAGAACCATACCTGCCGTACAAAAAGAACAGCCAAACTGTACATTATCTTGGGTTTATTTAAACACAGTCATTAACTCAGACTGTCATTAGAAACTTGCATCGGCTGGCATTTTTTCCACTCACTCAACAGTATGATGATGCAGATGAGGATAGCAATGATGGCTCCAGTGCCGAGACCAGCAGCTGCCACGGCTCCTGTTGCACTACAGTCCCCATTGTTGTCACAGGGACACACTTTGATCCTGATCAGAGAGCGGTTGGACAGAGGAGGGTTCCCCGAGTCAGACACTATGACTGGGATCCCATACACACCGGCCTCCAGGTAAGGGATCCTTAGCCTTAGCTGAGCGTAGTCACCTAAAGAAGTCAGACAGAAAAGATGGGTGAATAGAAAGATTAAATAAAACAAATAGCAGCTGTAAACAACCTTTTCTCGACATCATGTGCTTGGGTGTACTGCTTCAAACTGTTTTAAAACAAACAGTCATTCTGACATGTATGACTGAAGGCAGAAAACACATAAACATCTAAAACTATGGTGTCTAACCTTCAGCATCTATCACTCAGTGGAAGACAAGAGCCTCGTTGGGAGTCGGATTCAGGTATGTGATCAGATTTGTCCTCAAGACAGTTGCTGTGATACATCCATCCTGTTGGATTAGGTGACAGATCGGCTGCTCGGGGGACCGAGAGACGAATGGATCTCATTTGTCACAAATGATAGATCATACGTCAACACTGGATAGCACCCTTGCTTCTCACTGGGAGCTTTTTGAGACATTTTGTTAAACCTAGACTTCCCTCCCTCACATCTTAGAGCTGTCCCCTGTGTTTTAAAGATTAATACGACCAGATTTTGCAGAGGGGATCTTGCCCTCATCAGGCTTATGGTTTCAATTTACTGAGGATTTAGACTGTCCATCTTTCATTCTGGCTTGCCTGAATATCCCAAGGGTCCATTTTACAATGATGTAGTCTTAAACACAATGTACAGCATTTAATTACCATTCAGTCTGGAAATGGTCCAGTTGCGACGGATGCTTGGAGGAAACGAAGGCAGCTCAAACACAAAAGGCCCGACATTAGGCTCGGCATCAGCATCCGAAGCTGTGATGTTGATTCTGGAGTTGGGACGGGCACGCTCGCAAATTTGGGCCTCCTTCGGTATTAGCACAGGCGCATTGTCATTGACATCAATCAGGTAAATTTGGAGGGTACCAGTCCCACTGGCCTGAGGCGAACCTGTGGGAAGGAGGAAGACAGGAGAGGCAAAGACATCAACAAAGAGGAGATGGTGAGCCAAAAGCATGCAGAGTAGAGACTGAATAGTTCACATGTGCTGATGGGAAACTGAGAAAGAAGCATCCTTTTGTGATGCATAGTCGTAGCTGAGTCATTCGTGGAACTGAGAAAACACACAAGGAAGGAAACAATGGGGAAGACAATGTGTCGTGTCTGTCTTGTGAGTGAAAATAAAGCGAAATGCAGGGAATCCAAACACAGAACAAATGGGTTTACACAATAAGCAGATGTTCCCCTCCTTGCCTTTATAATTGCCCTGAAAATTTGAACTTTCATACTCAGTGAGACATACTGGAGTGGGAAAATGCTCTCATAAAAATGTTATCTGTTCTTTGCATGAAGACAAACCTCTAAAAGATAGCTCATCCTTATAAACTGGTTTTTAACGCCCGGTCAGAGTAGGATCGGTTTATTACAGTTTTTGATGGTAACAGGAAAAAGTGCTTTTTCATGGTATAAGAACACATTTTTGCTTATAATTGAGGAATAAAAGCCTCTGGCTTCTTTCCATTTGGTGAAACTTCAAAGCAGCAAAGACAGGCTGAATGCTACCGTGAAGGTAAATATTTTACTCATGAAATGAAATAGGAAAAAAGAGTGTTTACAGCCAACTGTAACCAGATTGGTACAAGCCAGGGGTCAGAAGCAGAGCCTGGCTTCAACTTGTTTGCAGGAGTCAGAGAAATGAAAAAAAAAAATGCTGTGTATACAATCTTAGTATAAAGGGTAATGAAATCTATGATTGCTGAATTGTTTTTTTCTGCTGTTGTGAAAATACTTCTTGCCAGTAAATATCAAACTGATGGGAAAACTCTGTTTCCAGTTACATAGTCAGCATTTGTAAGGACCATGCTTGTCATGGTCTTGGTTCTGTTTGTTCTTTACTTTGCTCCTTGTTTTCTAGTTTTATTGGTTTAATTACAGTTTTGTTGTAATTTCTAGATTTATATTAGTTCTCGTGTTTTTCTGTTGTCCTCTATTGCCCTCTTGTGTGTGTGTGTTCCTTTCCCCTTGGCTCCCTCGTTGTCTCCTCTCACACCTGTTCCTTGTCTGCTCGTTAGCCCTCCCTTTGTCTCTCTCTGCTATATATGCTCTCCCTCTGCTCTCACTCTTTGTTGGTTCCTTGTCTTTGCTGTCCTCCCATGCTGTTGTCCACATACCTTGTCTCTCCCTGGCTCCTAGTGTTTGGTTTCCCCAGATGTCTCCATAGTTCTGGTTTGCTTTTCTTTATTAGTTGGATTTTTGCATCCCTGCCTTTGTTTACTTTTTGATTAAATCCACAAGAAATCTCCTCAGCCTCTCTGCCTCTGCATTTGGGTCCTAACCACAACCAACCCTGACAATGCTTTGGTGTGTTGAGTAGGAGAGTTGGGTATACGAGTTGCTCCCATAAAGAACCAAATCCTCTTTGCAAATGCCAAACAGATTTTGGTGGAGGAAGTGTGATGGTGTGGGATGGCCTCTCCCTATCTACTGTAAAAGCAGAGAGGAATTAAGATCACATAAAGCTAATATAGCTTTTCTCAGAAATTCAGCTCTAATAGATAGATGCTTGCCACCTATAGGATTGCCAGAGTCAACAAAAGCCTCTGGTATTATTCAGGCTGAATATTTTTTTTGGGTCAAATTAGTGAAGCCAATTTAAATCTGCTGCCCTTCTTCATTAAACCATTCTTTTAAATATACTCTAAACATTTTCATGGAGTTAATGTGGTAATCTTTCAAGAAGAATATTGTTGTTGTGGTACCCATTCAAAACTAGTTTTGATGTGTTTTAGGTTACAATCCTGTTGGCCCAAACAATTGTGCTTAACCCTTTATAGAGCACTCAGTGAAATACTTTGAAAATCAAACTGTATTACCTTTGGAACATTGAACTTAGTAAAAAGAAACACCAACTTGCCCAAATATTAAGAAAAATAACAAATGTGCTTTTATAAGAAATTCATGAAAAAGAAACACATTTTTTTTTGGTATAACATAACCTTAAGGGCCTTAATGCTGATACCGGCACTTAAATTTTGTAGTTTATAAACCTAAATATAAGTAAGGGCAAGTGATCTGAAAACAGTAACTTGCCTTATAAAGGGTTAAAGGTACTGTATAGTGGAGGATGTTCTTTCTCCCGGTGGATCATCATAATAACTGGTCTTGTCAATCATTCTGGTGATATGTTTAAGGCTGTCCTACGTGCTCTTCCCCATTGTCCCTTCCCGGTGGTGAGTCTGACATAGTGGAAAAATTGCAATTCTTTTTTTGGAAATAAGCTTGTATGAGTGATGCAAACAGTAACTTTAAAATTGAGCGTGCACAAGGAGAAATGGGCTTGTGCATGCTCTAACATTCGTTTAATAGGTGTTCCCTCAGTTACAGGGTCGTGCATGTGCATTTTTTTCTAAATTGAAGAGGGTGGCTATTTTCAAAAATTAGCAAAGATCATCCACAATACCTTTAAGTTTCAACCATCTAACTCTAAATATTACTTTATTACAAAGAAACATGGTGAGGATACTAGAGAACTACTGATGAACCACTGAAGTTTAATCATTTAAGGAGAAAAGAGAACGATTGAAGGTGAGGCTTTCAAACATGAGAGCACTGCATCAACTGTAAGTCATGGCGGTTCTGGCATCATTGTATAGGGATGTTTTTCAGTTGGGATGGTGGTACATTACACAAAGTAGCTCGACAAATGAAAACTGTAAGGCTGCTTCAGAATTCTTCAACTTTACCACAAATCACCTACTAGTTGAGTGAAACTTTAAGAATGACCACAAATCAGAACTGGTTTTGATAAACTATAGAGAGGCATTTTTACTACATTTAAAAGCTGGGTTAGATTCAGTTCACCAACACATTTCAATGTGCATAGACAAATACTTTGCCTTTTAGTGAAACTCCACAAACCATATGTTCATGTAAAAATAAGTGATATAAGCCAAGCATTAATTTTAAACCCAGATACAGAATGTGTCCACATAGTACATAATGACACCAAAAGGTCATGATATTAGATAATTGTTTCATTTTACTGCACATACTCAGGAAAACATACTAACAATAGGTTGCATGTGGGTCCACATATAACAGATTAAATCTACAGTATACAGTACAGGGTGAAAACTGGACAAAAGTAAGTTACGTGTACAGTGCTGTCTGCTCTGAACCCAGGATGAGGTAAGATGGACTGAAGCAGAGTTAAACACACTTGTCTCATTGATCCAGATGAAAAATTCTGCCTGGATGTCCAGGATGCTACATGTATGCCCTCCAGGCTGAAGAGGAGCAGGATAGTCCAGCTCGTTATCACCTTAAAGCCCATATCTGTGTTAACATCACATGTTGGCTCGATATGCAAGTGCTGCTGTACTGGCACCATTACAACAAAATACACAAGTAACAAACACTAAAATCCATGTTTGTGTCTTTTCCATAGAAGGTGTATTTTCACATCAAACTGCATCTGCTTTTAAATCTGTTCTTCCCCTTTGCATCGACCTGCCTGTATTTAATCCATGTCCCGATGCTGAAAATATCTAGGACTTCATCATTTAAATTATAAAAAAGCCAGAAATCACTAAGCACCAGACGCCCTATTTAATAAACATGAATGGACAAAATTTCCCTTTTAAATGTACAACTTTTCTCCTCAGATTCTGCCCCTGGAAAAAAATGATGAACACAAACATCAGCAAAACCTAACCCTATGTTATAAACATGCAATCTACATTTTAATCAGCATTTTAACTTTGAAATAAAAACTTCTTTGATTCAAAAAGTCAATGTTTATAAGGTATAAGGTGCTCTAGTCAATTTTCTTTACAAATGTACAAGTAGAGCTGCAATGGGATATATAAAATTGAACCATATTCAGGTTTTGGGAAAGCACAGACCTTTATCTTATAAACAATAAGCTGGAAGACCAGCGGCTGTAACTGAAAGAACTGGTTGCTTTATATACTATTAGTTCACATGAACAGGACATGAATGCATGACACAAATCCCAGGTCTTAGTTGCTTAACCCTTCAAAGATTATGTCTTTTTGATTCCATGCCCCAATCATGCACTGCTTTCTGTAAAACTAGTACAAAGGAGAACAGTGAAACGATGCCAAAGTCTGAGGTTGATACATGACAAAATATAAGAGGTGAAATGCATATTACTACAGTACATTTAAAATGCATTGTGCATGCGCTGCACCGCTGAACAAACAGTGATATGTTGTGGCCTTGACTTTTTGTTGACAGCTTCTTCCGACCACTATGTCAGCAGGCTGATCTAAATTCCCAATGAGGTGCAGCACAGCGTACTCCAGCATCTCATCAATGTTGTACATGAACTTCTCTCCACTGCACACTGTAGCTTGGTGAATCAAGTAAGCAAAGGTCCACTGCCCCAAACCCCAAGGCCCATCGACTGTCTTGTCAGTTATGATTGGCTGGGTGCTTTGTTGCCTCTCACGCTTCGCCTGAGTAGAATAAGTGAAGAGAATTTCAATCAAAGTTGAAAATATCCCCTTGTTGACACTGGTCTCCAGAATCAATAGGCAGTCAGCAGTTTAAGCTGAGCTCCGGGCGTCAAATACCTCATTTCTCAGCAGAGAAGAAAAGAAAACACCTGGTGCCCCTCCCACTTTAACAGAGAACGAGTTCCTTGGTTTGTGGTGCTTTAGTTATTTGTCTTCATACAGATCTGCAGTGAGGTTGACACCAAGGACTTTCACCAGTACATAATGTTGCTTTTTTTCCATTTCTGACATAAATGCTGGATGTTCAGGTTTGTATGAAATCCATGGAAAACATACAGTCTTCATGCATACTGATATATTACAACCACAAGAGACGACAAGCAATGAGTCATTGGGACTTTTATGTGTTTAGTTAAAACAAAGTATTGTTCAGTTGTCCAATTTATGAAAAATAACATTTGAAAAGATCTG